GCAGTCACTTTCCTGTGGGTCCTGCATGTCCAGTTTATACAACAACAGTCACAAAGTCCAGGCAAGAGCAGTTTCTTGCCCAAAGGGCTAATCGTGCCATGTTTAAAGCAAACTCCATAAGGAGTTTCTTCGATGCCCATCTTCCTCTCAGATGTAATTGATGTGCCAGGAGCAGACATTTCTCATTGTCAAGAAAAACCCTAAACCGTTTTAAATGCCATTTTCTGAAGGTCATTGAAAGGTTTGAAGACTGTCTATCTATATCAAATATATTTCTGTATATCTAGAAAACCTAACTAACCTAACTATAAGTTCTGACTCTTCTAAGTAACTATCTATAATCAGTATAAGCACAATACTTAATCAAGAGAAATATACATATCACAAAATTGATCTTGAATTTGTATCAATAAATGAAAAACCATACCAATACAAAGTATTCATTTCCATACCATAATTCCCCCTTTTACCTTCAAAAAGAGATTGGTTGTGATCATTAACCCATTATAAGCAACTCCATTCAAATGAAAACAAATGTTTATAAACAATATGGGAATTTGGACGTCGCTCATTCCAAACTGCTTCGTGCTGGAAGGGGGCGCTGTTCATACCATGCGGATCATGGCAAAACTCAGATGCTTGTATAAGTCCTTATTTTCGTGGTCTGTAAGGCTGCATCATCTTAGCTGTCTTAATTGTTGGAACATCTGGCCCACTGCTTCTGGGGGTCTTGGTTCATCAAACCACAGAAGCCTGGAAGGAATCCACAGCTTTCCACTGGAAACAGTAATATCTTTTCCAAAGTAACATACCCTTATACTTAAATTCTGAAGTCAAGGCATTTTTAAAAGATATAAGTTGAATTAATTTAGCGGCATTTATAAAAGATATAAGTTGAATTAATTTAGTAGTATTTATAATCAAGTGTACTTTAGCAGTTGTTCCTTAGCATTCAAAAAACTGAAAAACACAATGGCATACAGTATCCAGTCTCTCTGTGTATTTTTTCCATCATTACGTGGCTTATTTATTTATCTATTATTACTCTATTTCTTTTACTATTATTTATTTCTCTGAGACAGGTTTCTCTGGAAATCTGCCTGCCTCTGCCTCTGCAGCAAATCTTGCGGGCTTGTGCCACCACAGCTGGCTTCTCTATTTATTTACCAGTTTCTTTTCCTCTCTTAATCCTACGAATATTTTTAAACACACTGTAAACCTTTAGAGGTTTTTCTTAATCCAAGTTTGACTTTACTGTAAATCTTTATGTTTTTCTGGCCACGTGTCTTATCTGTTAAAACCGCAGCTGTTTAAACTGCAGTTTTTTCAAGATGGCGGGCATAAGCATGACTCCAGCTCACAGTCTCAGTCTATGCTGACATCCAGGAAAAGCTGCAGGCTCAGAGATGTGGTCACTGCCACTTCCAGCTGTACGTACACACCTTTCAATTGTTAGCAGAGCCTCTGAAAAGAACCTTGGTGTTTTTTTGTTTTTGTTTTTTTTGCTTATGCTGAGTCAGGAAGATTCCCTTAAGACAGCTGTGTGAGTCTCTGCTTGTGACTAGCAAAACAGAGCCCACCTGAGAAAAAGCTGCTACCAAAAAGTCATGCTTCTCTCTGTTCTTTTGTTTCTAAAATCCCTTTTACACTTTTGTCATTTTATGTGGAAATTCATGATCCCACTCCTGATCACCATATAAGGATGATAGTTAATGCATTAGGGAATACAATATATTTATTTACCAGAGTGAGAATCACACAAGCTGGGAGTCAGAAGTGTGGCTGCATTCCAAAAGAGGAGGTCCTTTTTCCGTTCGCTTCCTTTTATCTCTATCTGTGCTAATTTCCTTATCCCCGCCCTCATGGGCTGATTGCTTTAGTGGGGCTCACTCCTTCAATCCCTATTGCATTGACTATCATCCTTAGTTGTTGAAAGGCCAACAGATGTTGTGCCCTGTTACTGTCCAATTTGAATGGTCGGTGACTGTTCTCTATAGTACCTTTTAATGAGTTTCCCAGAAACATCTGTTAGTTTATGGTTTGTTTCAGAGATTGGAGGTGTGCTAATCTGAGTATTCCATTGCTGTAACAAATCAGAACCCCATAAATTCATTGCTAAATTATCCACATATGGCTTTAATTTTCTTCTCTGTTCTTCTGACCCTATACATTCCACCCATCTCGTGAGTGCAGTTTCCATGTACAGCTCTGTTTTGTGTTGGTGGTTGCAAAGTCACCAAGTAGCTGTTTTGTGAATTTGTGTCTCAAATGTTGAACACCAGATGAAGCATTGAGCTAATTAATCTTATCAATAAAAAAATCAGGAGTCAGATATCAGGCTTTAAAAAAAAACCAAAACATCCAATTGTGTTTGGAGATCAAGCACCTGTAGAGTTTGGGGCTTGTTGAGGTTGCTGTAGAGAGGTTGTCCAATCATTCCTATCCAAAAATGGCTCATTACAATGAGTAATTGGTCTGGTTGAAGGCCTCTGGTTTCTGG